GAGCACTTTCACCAATGTACTTGTCTACAATAGAACTAGAAACAACCTTTAAGAAATTGCAGTCCAGCTGGCTAGCAACAGCTCGTGCCAAGAGTGTTTTTCCTGTGCCTGGCAGTCCATATAACAAACAGCCTTTTGGAGGTATAATTCCCACACGCTGGAATAATTCTGGGTTTGTGAGAGGTAGTTCTATTACCTCTCTTAGTTCTTGAATCTGCTCTGACAGCCCTCCGATCTCAGAAAAAGACACATTCCCAGGGTCCTCATGAGACATATTATAAACCAACGGGTCCACTTCTCTCGGCAAGTATCGCATGATAGTTAGCGTAGTCATATCCAAAGCAACTCTTGTTCCTGGCTTGAGCTTACGTTTGTCAAGCTGTCAGCGACAACCCACAACATATCTTGGTCCATTTGTAGCTTTAACAATAAATTTTTCTTCAGTTAACTGTTTAAGCACTTCACCCACAATCTGCCCAACATTTTGTAGGGCCTTCAGATCATTTTCAGACTTTTCATACTGCTTGGTAAGTTCTTTTAATTGTTCCCTTAACTCCTTCAGACGGCCGTTGATCTCGTGCTCCAGCAGCTTCTTGCGGTAGTCCTGGAGCGCCTTATCTCTAGAGTCCGCCATGATGAGAAGCCGTCGCTCATAGGGCCGTATCTCTACATCTAAAACTGAACGTGAATGGCCGAGCCGCTGTCTCGATCTTTTGTCCACCCTTGCCCACTTTACTACTGTATTATTCGGTCGTGACTGCCTTCTTGAGAGCCTTGGAAACGAGTAACAGACTTTTGGGAAATGAGTGTTTTCTTATTTAAAATAAACAAGAGAGTCCTCCTGACTCTCAACCTCGATGTGCAAAGACCTCCCCCAATACTGTAAGATGGAATACTTTGCGTTTCTTACCTTCAGAAAAGGTCAAGAACCCAAAATTAATGGTAAATCTCCAAATCAATGTTCTTAAACAGGGAGCAATTTCAACTCACTTTCTGTTAATTTCAGAATAAGCATTGGATCCAGCCCCAGTTTTTCAAACGAGGGACCCTCTGTCTCAGAGCGGAAAGCTATTTGGCTCAGGTGTGAGCGACTCTTCATTCGGGATGAAAAAGTTGTCTTCTGGTGAACTTTCATGCTGCGGCTCAAAATTTTTTCCTGCACAAGTGGAAAAGTTTAAAATAATTTTTTAATCTAACAAAGGGATTGTTGTGTTAGAATAGTGCTCATGCATAGAAATGTCATCTGCAACCATTGACATTAGTATTAAACAAGTAAACCAAGCTCTTAGGCTTAAGAGAATGTGTTTAGTTTTCATTTTCTTGAAATGATAAATTTTTTTTAAAAAAATTAACCTTTATTATAGTGCATCTCACAAATAGGATAATATCCTTCTGGCTTTATTTTCACAATTTTGTCTTGCCCAAAAGGCAGGTAAAACTTGGAGGTTCCGAGGGTTGGCTCTGTACAATGGACATCTAGAGAGGAAATGGACCTTCACAGAATGGTGTGCGCATGCGTGCGTGCGTGCGTGCGTGTGTGTGTGTGTGTACTGTATGTGTTTCTGATCTCATTTGTATTTTCTCAATTTAACTTCGGGTTAAATTCAACAAAGCTACACAACACATATGAAAAGCCATCACACAGTAGCATTTCTAGATAATTTCTTCATTCTAATCAGGGCGAAGAAAGTCCTGTAAATCAACCTTTATCTCTGGGAGGAAAGGAAGTTAATTTCCTGAAATGTGAACCCGTCATGCAGGCTACAATCATTTAAACAGTGCAATTAACTCTGAGAGACCTGTAGGAAGTGTTAGCTTCAGTACCGACTTAAGTTTTGTACAAAATAATTCTAAATAATTCCACTTTTACCACGTTTTCCTTGCCAAGTCCTGGCCCCAGTACACACACAGACACTGTCTTGTCCAAAAGCTCAGCAACTGAGCAGTTCTTGAAGGCTGCACTATGATCTCAGGGAAGCCTTGCACACCGCTGCCGTCACCACCACCCTCTCACTAGCCAAGGTGAGTGTGCCTCGTCTCCTGTCTTTGCAGGCTGCTGTTACTATAGTTCATCAGCTTTGAGATCCCATTTATTGTAATACATTACTACTTTATGCATGGCTACCGACATGGCACTGCGCCTATGTAAGTGAGATCCAATTTTCGAATCATCAAAGTAGAGTACTTGGTGGTTGCTATACTGGGTTGCTAATGGGTTATCTGTCTTCTCTGCTGGGTGGTGACCTTTGCAGTTCCCTGCTGTGTGCTGAAGGTCGCTGTGACCTTTCTTTGCCTTCACACTGTCTCTCCAGAACAGCATGGGCCACATACCACGTGCATCAACACCTGATACCATGTCATAATCTATAGAAGCTTGTGAGCGCGATGAGTAAGAGGATATGATTAGAACATTAATTTATAATTCTTTTTATAAAGCCTTACCTTTTCCTTTGCTGCAATTTCATTTTCTTTATAAAGAAAGAGATCTTGGAAGAAGATCTTATAGGGCCTGTCCTTTTTGGTCGTGTCATCCTTTGCATTATCTGCAAGAAAGAGAGATCGGGTTTTCCTCAGTTGGGTAGAAGGAGAAGGCTCTTGGCAGCCAGGGGAGACAGTGGGGTGCAGGGTGATGGAGGAGGGAGGATGCAGACAGGTTTTGCCTCCCCAAGTGGAACTGGAGATGCAGGCCTTGGAACTTCGGGGCTAGAGCAATTGTCTTTCCCACGGAACCAAATAGAGTGTTCAGTGCTTCATGGGTGAATGATTTGACAAAGAGGCTTTTGTGAAAATAGTAGGCTCCTATTCTGAGACATAAAGACACTCCTTTTTCTCATCACTGCAAATGCGCTGAGCAGTGTGTTTGTACTTCATCCCCCTTCACAGCAGTGCACACAGCCACCGCCTTCAAGGGAGCCTTAGTCCAAACCAGAGAGGGGTTTTTGTTGTTGTTGTTTTTGTTTTGTTTTGTTTTGTTTGATGGAACTGGGGATTGAACTCAGGCCCTTGCATGTGCCAAGGAAGTGCTTATTCTACTGAGCCATCTCCCTGGCCCTGGAACCAGAGAGTCTTAATAAGAAAGTCAATGTTAACAATGCTGGTGAGGATGCTGAGAAACTAGATCTTCACTACAGCTGGTGGGGCGGGATATAGCATGGTGCAGCCACTTAGGAAGGCAAAGTGACTCCTTTAAAAGTTGTAGGCTGGAAAGTGCAAGGACCTGGGTTCCATCCTGGGTTCTGCCCCCCCAAAAAAGTTGTACAGCTGGCCAAATAGCAGGTTAAAACTCCTGCAAGCAGGCACAGGGACTGGTGGTTCTATCCCCAGGCCTGCCATGCCAGCCCAGCCGTCCCCCACCCCGGGGCATGCTGAGACAGCAATTGAGACTGGGCATGGTGGTGCATGCCTGAAATCCCAGCTCTTGGGAGGCTGTATACAGGCGGATCACTATAAGTCCAATCTAGTAGCGAGACCCTGAACACTCTGTAGACCCATCCCTAAAATTTAAAAAAAAAAAAGTTGCATATAGGGTTGCCGTAGACCTCAGCGATTCTACTGTAAGGTATACACCCTAAGCAAAGAAAACACAATGAAACAACTTGAGTATCCATCAGCTGATGAATGAAACACAGAATGTGGTACAGCAAGTTGGTTCTGTTTGTAAGTCTGGCAAAGTGAGCCTCACACACTGCTGACACAAATATAAGTGTGTACTGCTTTGCACTTCCGAGCAGCCCCCTCCACTTCACTTTTCCTCTGTGTGTGTGTGTGTGTGTGTGTGTGTGTGTGTGTATGTGTGTGTGGAACTAGGAATTGAACTCAGGCCCTTGTGCTTGCCAGGCAAGCACTTATTCTACTGCGCTATCTCCCCAGCCCCCCACTTTTCCTCTTACTTCCGGACACCCTTGGCTCTGATGAAGCACGGTACTACTGTACACTGTCACCCTGTGCAGTAGGCGCACAGCAGTGCAACTGTGACAATGTCTGCCAGACATGTTAGCTACTTCTGAGATTTTTTTTAAAGTAAAAAAATAATTTCAATTTTTTAATAATAAATTTTTCTCTGTAACACGTGGGCTAGTCAATCTGACATCCTTTTCCCTAATAGCCTAACACTGAGTAAAAGTGAAAAGTAGGTGATAAGGTGAAAGAAAACTTCTTGAGAAAAGCATCCTTTCTAATAGGCAATGCATTTTACAAACTCAAAGCATTGTCTTACATTTATTTAAAATACAAATGGCATGCCTTTATTAGTTCATTTTTTAAAAAATATTCATTTTAGTGAGAAAAAAAGATAGAATAGCAATGATGCTGTTTAAAACAGGTTAGTAGGACAGCTACAATAATTAATACATTGCATATTGTTGTCTTTGTAGTAGTTATTCAGAGGACAAGATGCAGATACAATATCTTGTCTAGACAATACTGGTACCCACCTTTTTTCTCATTGAACTAAGAGAAAGTAGCTGTATATCTTTTTTGTTTTGTTTTATTTTTGTTTTTGTGGTACCGGGGATTGAACTCAGGACCCTACACTTGCCAGGCAGGCACTTATTCTACTGAGCTATCTCCCCGGCCCTGGTAGCTGTATATCTATCCTAATTATCTTGTACATACATACATATATATATATATATTTTTCCTACTTCTGAGATTTGTTCATGACTATGAATCTTTGTAACACAAGGTCCATTCCTATCTGCGACAGTTTGCAACTCACATAGTTGTAAGTCAAGGACTTATACCCACTGCTGTATACCCATTCAATGCACTATTACCCAGCCACAAAAAGCGAGAAGTATGATAGATTATAAAATGGAAATGTTCTGTGAAGTGAGAGAAGCTAGCAACAAAGGGCCACACAAGGGGGCCGCTCCTTGTGTACGAAAGGACCAGAATCGGCACATCATGGAGACAGTTCAGTGAGTGCTCAGGGCTGGAGGAACAGGGGCAGGAGTGCTCAGGGTTTCTTTCTGAAGCGATGAGAATATTCTAAAACCATCTGAGGTGATGGTAGCACATACCTGTGAATACACTAAAAACCGTGGACTTGTGCACTTCATAAAAAAAGGCCAGTTGTCAACAAGAGTGACAAGTGAGTTGTATTTCTGCATAGATGCTTTTGTTTCTAGTCATTCATTACATCTGAAATGACAAAAGTGTTTCCTTCTCTCCCTAATGTATCCCTTGTTTTCTAAAACTGAATGGTGTGGTGGTAGAGTGTTTATTTATTTATTTATTTATTGTATTTAGGACAGGGGCTACAGGGTCTCACTACATAGATCAGACTCGTAGTAATCTTCCTGTTTACAGCTTCCCAAGCGCTGGGATAGAAGCGTGCACCACCACGCCCAGGAGAAACCTTTAAAGACCAATAGCTAAGTCCAGGAATCCTGGGAAAGATGCCTGAGTGCTATGACAAACAGAAACACTGCAATGACACCCAGGATTTGGAGACAGATTGATTTACCGTAAGACGGGCACTGGCTGGGAATCGACTGTTGCTCAAAATGGTCAGCCCTGATCTCTGCTGGTCTAGGGCTGACATGGGCTAAGCAAGCAGGAGTACAGAGGCGCAGCTCTCGGCTGCCTTCAATCAGTTCTTACAGTGTGCATCGCAGTGACCTGCTGTTTTGGGAGACAGAAGCAACTGGGACTGCAATAGGAACTGTTACCTGGGCAGCCAAGGAGCTGAAGCACACTGGCTGAGAGGTGGGGTATATTCTGCTACAGGAGGACATGTTCCCCACCCAGAATCCCATATTCTCCCTCCACCTGCACCTCACCAAAAAGACTCCAAGTCTCCTGAACAGGCTGGGGCCATTACTCTGGTTCCCCCTAGAGATTTTTGTCTAAGTGACGAAACAGCATCAGTACTGAAATACCTTAGCTTCGCAGGGTGGTGCCTGCTTGCCTGTCACCCCAGCACTCTAGGAGGCTGAGGTGGGAAGACTGCAACTTTGTTCCCAGCTAGGGCAATTGAACAAACTTGCAAGACCCTCTCTCAAAAACTTTTTTCAAAGGAGCTCAGCCCAGGCATATTTCTCAGTGGCACAGTACCTTCTGGGCAAGCACAAGGTCCTGGTACCCCCTCTCAAACAAACCCCACAAAAAATTAAAAATAAAAAAGGAGCTGGAGATGTAGCTCAGTACAAAGGCTCTGAGCTTGATCCCCAGTACTGCAAAGCACTGGAATATTTTTTACTGTCTCCAGTGGTAGTAATGTGGAACCAGGGCAAGGAATTAGTGGACTGGATCACAAAGGCTGCCTGGTAAGTGGCCCGTGCCCAGGGATTCAGCTGGGGAAACAGGAGTGGCTGGGATTACAGAAATCTTAGAGATTCTATTTTGGTAGGCCATGGGTTTAAGAGAGAAAGTTGCAAAGTAAACATGACAAGAGAATCAAGTGTCCTCAGATCCACGTAGGAGGAGCTGACCAACTTGCTGAGTGGCTCTGTGGTTCAGTAGGGGAGGGAAATCCTTAAGATTGAAGATTATGTGGAGTGTAGCTGGTCCAGCTGGTGGAGGGCTAAGCCGGTAGGGAGCTCTCCTGCTGGACGGCACAATGCCTGGCCAGAGCAGAAGGGCACACAGTTGGGCCCTGAAGCCCGGTGAGGTTCAGACATTCAGGTCTTCTGATAAATGGATGAGAGTGGAGGCAGCAAGGGTGGAGCCAAACAGCAGGGCTGGGAGACAGCATGACTATGGGGGAGCCAAGCTAACAGCAGGGGGTGACAGAGGTTGAGGACCCAAAGGAACCTGGGGCTGATGGCTCTGGTGCTTAGTTTCATGTGGGAACTTGGCTGGGCCAGAGGGTGCCTGGGTTGAATGCAGTTTCTGGGTGTCTGTGAGGGTGTTTCTGGACGCCTGAGGATTTAAACTGGTGGACTTGGGAAGTCAACTTCCCTTCCCAGGGCAGGAAGGCCTCTCACCATCCATGAGGGCCCAGGTAGAACGGGCCACCAAAGGAAGAACGTGTCCCTCCCTTTTCATGTCTCTGAGCAGGGAAATCTCATCTCATCTTCTCTTATGCCCGCACTAGCACTGCCAGCATGGGCTTCCCTGGTTCTGGGCCCTTCGATTTGGACTGGATTACACAACCAGCTTGCTCTCATGGCTGGCAGGTGGCCTGCCGTGGGACTCAGGCTCCATAACCACGCGAGCCAATTCCTCATACTAAACCTCATTCCTACTGATTCTGTTTTTCTGGAGCACGATGCCTAAAACAGTGACACCGGCAGAGTCTGTGGACCTGTGTTCTCTGTTGCCACTGTTAGGCTGGCATGGGCCCCAGACATCTGAGCATGAGCCACTCCTGTCCTCTGCACACGAGTCACTGGCAGGCTGACCACTCTGCCCAACTGGCCCTCTCTTACCCAAGAGAACCCTACAACCGGAGACTGCACCCACCCCAATGCTTTAATTCCCTAGTTAAAACATCCACTGACCAAATTTAAGTATCCTGGGACTGATGCCATGACATTTTTCTCTATCCAAGTCCAAATCCAAGTTTGTTTAACTTATAGAGCAATGGGGGAGGGGACCTAAACTTCTGAGCACCAAGACTATTGGTTTCCTTTGGCTGTTGCAATAAATTACCACAAAAGTGGTGTATGTCTCTTTCCAGTTACTCTTAAGAGAATACCTGCATTTGGGTGACCCTAAGTCCAGAATGATCTTGTCCTAAGATCTTTATCTAGATTTTTTATCTACCAAGACATTTTTTTTTTTTCAAGCAGAAGACGGCATACGAGATGTTGCGGCGTGACTGGAGTTCAGACGTGTGCTCTTCCGATCTGTTCACCAAACATTTTTTTTTTTTTCAAGCAAGGGCAGGCTCACAGGCTCCAGGGGTGAGAACATGATGCTGAGCGCTTGTGGGGCCACCATTCAGGCACAGTGCCGGGGCTCTAGAATTATAAGCTCACTGCAAACACTCGCGCTCTCCATATATTAGTTTCCTATTCACTTGGAGCAGGGACCACTGTTACATATTACCACAGGCAGGTAGCTTACGGCAGCAGAAATCCCTTCCCTCACAGTTCTGGAGGCTGCAAATCCAAAATCAAGGTGTTGGCTGCACTGCATTTGTAGAGGCCCTGAGGGACAATCTAGTCCCGGCTTTCTCTCAGCTTCCTGTGCCTGCCAGAAATTCCTGTAATTCCTTGGGTCATAGATGCGTCACCCCAATCTCTGCCTCCATCTTCATACATCTGAACCTCGAGCTTCCTCTATGTTCTCTTACCAAGATATTGGTTGTTCAGTTTAGGGCATACCCTAAATTCAAGGTGACCGCTCTCAAGATCCTTAGCGTAACTGCTTCTGAAAATATCCCTTTTCTAAAGAAGTTCACAACTGCAGGCTCTGGGTGGACATAGCTGAGGGCCCACATTCACCCTGTCCCACCAGTGTGCACCACAGTCTACCCCCAGCCACAACCTCCTGCACCTCCACACTTGTCCTGCTGCTCTTGGATAAGCTGACGCTGGGCCTGGCCTCTCTCAGGCGCCCTAGTCTAGCAATGAGGGTTCTTCTGAGTTCCCCAGTGACTGACTACTCTAACCCCACCGCCTCTCACCATTGCACATTTCCCTGGGCTGCCATGCGAATCCGTGCCGTTACTAATTCCCCACTGCAGGTGGAGCCTTCCTGTTCCCCTGCCTCAGTCTACCAGTTTCCCTGAGCTGCTGCAACTAATTGCCCAAACCCAAGCAGCTTAAAATCATGTGCATGCAGCCTCTTATCCTTGTGGAACTCAGAAGTCTGGAGCAAGACATAAAATCAAGAACTCAGCAGGGTTGTCTTCCTTTTGGGGCCACATGGAGATTCTTTTACAGCCTTTAAAGGTTACCCATATCCCTTGGCTTGTGGCCCCTTCCCCCTCTTCAGAGTGCATCACCTAGCCTCTACTTCCATTATCATGGTCCCTGCTCTGTTCCAGGCCCTCCCACCTCTCTCCTGGGGACACCACCAGACCCACTGGGCCCACCAGAGAGGCCAGGATTGCCTTCCCATCTCCAGGTTCTTCACCTGGTCGCCTTAGCAAAGTCCATCCTGACACAGAAGATAATCTTCTCGCAGGTGCCAGGGGTTTGAAGCAGACATGTTTGAGGGATTTTATTCTGTCTGCCACACCCCCACTACCTGTCTTCTTAGCTTTGTCCTTTACTGGCCCTAATTCTTTCACCCATCTGTTCCAGTACAGGCACTGATGCTACACTGTGAACAATCTTGGGGACCTTGTGTGGAGGTGAGGTGGTGTGTGTGTGTACTGGTAACAGATAATAAAAATATGCAGTAGGCAATTTTATAACCTGTTATAAGCTAACAGTTCTGTAGGGAAAATAAGGCAGGAGACAGAGGGGCTGGGGTGAGCCTTTTCAAGAGAGTGGTGGGTAGACTCCATTGGGAGTCTGCAGGCTAACCAAGTGGCTATCTGGGGTAAGCTGGTCTGGCAGTGCTGAGTCAGCGTAAAGGCGGGGTGGGGGCGGGACTTGCCTGCTGTGTGCTCAAGAGAATGCAAAGAGTCCCCGTAGCTGGAATGCGGTGAACGAGGGGCAGCAGTGGAGAGGCAGGCTGGCCAGTGTCCACAGCCTTGTTTCTCTTGGAAACCCTGACTACAACAGAGACGCTGTGCACTGCTGATTTGGAGCTTATTTACAATTAAACTGTAGAGCAGAATCTTCTCTACAGGTAGTTTATAGTCTTTGTACTTTACATTATGACGTCAAGTCCTCCTTCGCTATCAGAGGCTCCGTGGAGTCTAACAGCACTGAGCACAAAGGAGAGCTCAACCATTGATTTCTTCTTACCTTCAAAATTTGCTCCAGCCTGCAAATACTGTGATGACATCTTGCCTCCTGGCCCTGTCCAAAAAAAGGAAGCACATTTAAAAAACTTCGGTAAATATTGTATAAAGAAGCTAAATTCAAAGCCTTTCTGGCTTTGCAAACAGTACACATGCAAACTATTTGACCCAGCAATTCCAGTTCTCGAAATTTATCTTAAAAAAAAAAAAGACATGAAGGACAACAATGTTTTTTAGTACCATTTAATAAACAGAGAGTTGATTAAATAATGATGGTTTCTGGATAAGAGATATTTCATTAGGCCCTAAAATAATGCTACTGTCACTATTTATCTGTCTATCATATACTGTAAGGTTTTTTTAAACAACTATTTTGAGAGTAGAAATAATGTGATAAAAAATGAACGCAAGGGCCTAGAGTAAGGCTCAGAGGCATAAGTGCCCGGCAAGGTCAAGGCCTGGAGCTTGACCCCCGGTACAAAAGCAAACAAACAGAAAACAAAACAAACAAACAAACAAAAATAAAACAAACAAAGCATACAAAAAACAAGAGTTGTTTAAAAAGGTGTTCACCAAACATTAGTAGTATTTACCTGATTTGGCTCAACCTCTCGCTATAGCTGTAAAATTTGAGGAATTGCCAAAACAACAGCCAGTTATTTACCAAGATAAAGAAGATAAAAATGGACTAATTTTTAAATTCCAAGTGAATTCAGGAAAAACGCATGATGAGCCTCATGGTTTGGATGTTGTGTCTCTTCCAAAGGACCCTGTATCAAGGCTTGGTCCTCAAGGGGGAGCTATTGAGAAGCGGGGACCACCTTACAAGCTGGGGCATGGTGGGAAAGCTTTAGGTCACTGGAGTGTTCCTAGGAGACCACGTGACCCGGTCTTTTTTGCTTCCTCTCCTTTTGCTTCCTGGCCATGAGGTGGGCAACTTTCCTCCACAACTCACTCCCTCTTTAATGTGTTGTCCCACCACAGGCTGGTAGCAGTGGAGCCCGCTGAACCTGCACTGGAACCACCACAACCATGAGCCAAACTGGGCTTTTCTCTTTTACTTGACTACCTTAGGTGTTTTGTTATAGTGACAGAACACTGAGAAAATGTTCAGTGGAATTGACTTTTATCAGACAGCAGTGACTTCTGTCAAACAAAATATCAAATTTTTGACTACAGAAAGGATTTCCCTCTGCTTATGTGCTGCTCAGAGGCAGGGCCTCACTTACCTCACCCTGATTCTGGCCCACAGATGCCTTCAGCACTAAACGTGCTCAACTGCTGAGCTACACCTCCAACCCATTTTTAATTCTCTTTTTTACCTTCTCTTCCTTTTCTTTTCTCCTCTTGCTCTCCCTCATTTCCTCCCTCTTTTTTGGGGGGGGGTGGTTGTTGTTCTTGTTTGTTTGTTTTTGGATAGGGTCTCACTGTGTAGCCCAAGCTGGCCTTAAGCCTATAATCCTTCTGCGTCAGGCTTCCAAGTATATTACAGATATATATCACCACAACCAGTTAGATCTTACTTTTATTTAAAATGTTGACATCTTGTTCATCCTAGACATGTTGTATTACTTTTCCTTTTCTAGAATGTGAATTAAAATATTGGTTATTTTTATTCCTGAGTTTATGCCTGTCCACCAATTTTTTTTTCTTTGCCTGAGGCAAGTACCTCCCTTGTTACTCTAATTCTTATTCTGATTTCTTTATTTTGGACCTATCACTAAGATTTATCAAAGACCTAGTGTAACTTATTTTTTTGGCAGAACCAGGTATTGAACTCAGGCCCTTGCGCTTGCCAGGGAAATGCTTATTCCACTGAGCCATCTCCCCGGCCCCCCTCGGGGAACTTTTATGAGAAGAATTATAAAAATATATGCATGTTGGGGGGAAAGGATTGAAGAGTTTATATAAAAAGTTACACCCATGACAGGAACAAAGAAATAACACATTTGTTATAGTTTGTGTCTAGTTGTCCCCCCAAAGCCTCATGCAGTCATGGGGTGGACTTCTAGAGTTTGTGATTAACTCATGATCCACCAGGATTATGGGTGTGAGGGCTGCTGGGATTATGGGTGTGAGTGCTACACCCAGCAGATTGCCTGAATTCAGCATAAGGGAGACAGACTTGCTCTCTGTTGCTGCCACTCCTCCATTTTGCGCTCTGCTCTTTGTTGCCACCATGAAAGGTTTCTGTCTGCCATGTATTGCTCTGCTTTGGAGCTAATTGAGTATGGACTGAAACTTCTATGAGCTGTGAGCTAAATAAACCTCTCCTTCCTTCATTTTGGGTGTTGGGTATTTTGTCCCAGCAATGAGAGAAGAGGAACTGAGACAGCATTGTATGTTAGGCTGGCTGTTTAAATTTATTTCTCAGTAAATTGTGTATTCAAAATGGTTAGGATAGATATATAGCAATATTCTTTTAATTCAATGAATAGAGGGATTTGTTCTAATAGTGTTTGTAAATAGGATATCATGTCTGCATCTTGTACAACAAATAGCCACTAGGAAGACAGTATGCAATGTGTTAATTATTGGAACTGTCCTACCAATTTGATTTGAAACTGTCTCATTGCTATTTATTTCTCAATAAAATTATGGGGGAAAAAGATTTCATATAAAACAAAACAAAGAACCATGTTTAAGACCTAAATATTCCAGCAAAACATCAGGTGACTACGAACATGGACTGAGGAGTGAAGAAGCCTGCCTTTGAAACTTGGTCTGCATTTACAGATGATTAAGCAAGGTTAGATGAGTAAGCAAATATTAAAAATTTTTATTGGTACCTACTATGTGTTAGGCACTGTTCTAAGTATGGGAGAAAAATTCTTCAAAAAAGATAAGACTAAAAGCCCTAGTCTTCATGGATTCTCCTGCCTCAGCCCTCCAGAATGCTAGGATTGTCGGCTGCACCTCTACTCCTAGCTAAGATTGAAGTTTTATAATGTCCAATCCTAAAGATCTAGAATGACTCTTAACTAAATTTACCAATAGCCAGGCAAGGTGGTGTACACCGGTAATCCCAACACTCGGAGGCTGAGGAAGGAAGATCTTCATGGGTTCAAGGCCAGCCTGAGCTATGTAATGAGATCCTGTCTCAAACAAAGAAAACCACCTAACAAGCAAACAAACAAAAAATCGGGCTGTCCTAACAACACCGACTACCAAATACTATTACAAGCAGTCCATGTCTGGTTTTCACAATCTTTTGTACAACGAGTGAAATGCATTTCCAGATT